TACAGTCTTTTCCCTCAGTTCATCAACAGATGGCCGGGGAGAGCTCAGTCATACCCTGGCTTACAGAGGGAAGGCTGTATCTTGTTTGGAAAATTCCATATATTGACAGCAGAGGAGGGAGAAGCACTTTTCCAGGGGGCTGCAGGGGATTTTGCTCTACGACATCATTAACATGCTGAAAATGTAGCGCAGAGATTCTGACACACACTGCTGGGCAGCCACTGCAATGCAAAATGCAGAGCCTGTTTGAGCAGCCAGTCTGAGATCATGCCTCTTCCAGCCAGGTCTTGGACTCTTACGAACAAAACGTAACATTCTGGAAAAGGAGAGAGGTCAGGACACTTATCTGATGAACTAAACAGGATTTTGCTGCAAGAAGAATTGCAGAGTTCTCACAATTGAGTTTGGTTCTATTCCTCAGCTCTGTCCCAGGAGCATTTGCAGGGGGTCGGCAGCAGTGGCAACTTAGGTACTCTCCTTGACCAGGCTTCTCCACTTCTTGAAAATTCCTTAGGGATCTCATTGTATTCTATGCTCCTTCAAAGCTGGGATCCCTGGTTGCTGGCCACATGTTTCCTATAGAGGGAAGTTTCCCAGTTACCTTGAAGGTCCTAGTAATCTGGAACATATTTCTGCACTGCCAGGCCTGTCCCCAAATTCACAGGTAGACACAGACAATCTTCGACATTTTCCTGTCGTCCTACCCGAAAACCTGTTGCCCAGGGTCTGCCTGTCTGTCTACATTGCTATATTGCATCCTCCATCATGGTCTCTGAGCGCCTGATGGATGGTTCTGAAGCCCTGCTAGACAGGAGCTCCAATGAAACAGCTTTTCCAAAGGGTTCAACTTGTGTTCTTCGCCTATAGTTTTACCTTTGCATCTAAAAAGAAACTGCATCAGAACTCAGTTAAACAGGATGTCAAACATTTTTTTCTTGGATCATAGAATCATAGAATGTCAGGGTTGGTAGGGACCTCAGGTCATCTAGTCCAACCCTCTGCTCAAAGCAGGACCAATCCCCAACTAAATCATCCCAGCCACAGCTTTGTCAAGCCTGACCTTAAAAACCTCTGAGGAAGGAGATGCCGCCACCACCTCCCTAGGTAACCCATTTCAGTGCTTCACCACCCTCCTAGTGAAAAAGTTTTCCTAATATCCAACCTAAACCTGTCCCACTGCAACTTGAGACTATTACTTCTAGTTCTGTCATCTACTACCACTGAGAACAGTCTAGATCCATTCTCTTTGGAACCCCCTTTCAGGTAGTTGAAAGCAGCTATCTAATCCCGCCCTCATTCTTCTCTTTTGCAGACTAAACAATCCCAGTTCCCTCAGCCTCTCCTCATAAGTCATGTGCTCCAGCCCCCAATCATTTTTGTTGCCCTCCACTGGACTCTATCCAATTTTTCCACATCCTTCTTGTAGTGTGGGGCCCAAAACTGGACACACTACTCCAGCTGAGGCCTCACCAATGTCAAATAGAGGGGAACGATTACGTCCCTCGATCTGCTGGCAATGCCCCAACTTATACAGCCCAAAATGCCATTAGCCTGCTTGGTA